AGGAAGGAAGGAAGGAAGGAAGGAAGCAAGAAAGAAACTTGCCCCTGTGATATAATGTAATATACCTTGGGTATGACGACAAGGTTCTGTTGCTTCTGACATTCATCTTTCAGAGTCTTGATCATTAATACTGTATTTTTTGAAGCACCTTCATCGAAATCCTTCATGTCAGCATCCAGGTCAAAGAGCAGACACCCAACAAGGTTGCTTTGAGCTTTGAGAAAAATACAAAAAAATCCATTTTTAATTAGGCTGCAACCAGTCTCATCTCTCCAGACTCAGTAAAATGAGTGTTTTGGGATTCCTGTGGATGCAGGCGGAGATTGGAGCTGAGTAGGAATTCCAAAACACTTGCCGTTACTGAGTTAATTTGGAAGGAAAAGTGGTACGGCTCGCAGATTTCATAAAAAGRTCATGCTGGTGACATTCAACAGAATAATTTCTTGTTATTTCTTGTTATTATTATTGTCATAGACACCATAGGGACTGTAAAAAAAGACCATCTTTCTTTTCTAGTAAATTTTTCTCTTTGTCCTGCAGTTCTCMATCTCTCCAAGAAAATCTAATTCTCTGCTTTCCCATGCCCCATAATGCTTTGCACCTTGGGAGGTAACCAATCAAAACACTGTCCCAAAATGAAATGTTCATCAATTGAATGTACACTACACCTGCTTTTATCTGAACAATAATCAGTTCATTCTGAGTTAATTTTGCATGTTCAGAACATCATGAAACATTTGGTGTTACAAAAAATGTATAGGCTTATGAAGAAAAAATTTAAAATATGCTTTGAACTTGTTCAATATTCTCTTTCTGTTTCTTACTGTTTCATTTTATTTAACAAATATTCGCCGAAGGTGAAGTGAATGTCGGGGAATATTTACCAAGACACAAGTCTTCGAGCGGCAAGGTAAACGTTCTCTGACATTCACTGAGGCTGAGGCAAATAATTGTTGATTCTTTCAAAAAAAAGGAAAGGAACGATAATAGGCATTTTYTTTCTGGTAACAGCCGTAAAGCGGCTGGCCGCCATTTTGGATTATTGCTGAAGGTGATTATCATGTGATAGTGGGAGTTTCTCAACTAATCAGCGTGCGAGACTTTCAATAATCACCTAGGTATTTTTACTAAATTTGGATATCACAAGAGGTATTTTTAACATAGTCTGATCAGCCTTCAGCACAAGAAGTGCGTTTTGTTTCCTCTGGTTACCCCCCAAAGACGCAATTAGTATTTAATGTGTGTGAAAAGAAGGGAATTCTCTCAGTGAGTTAGCCTTGCCATGACTTATTCCTCTAGTTGGATTTCCTGTGGTGAGTCAACTAAACTAATCTCTCCCTTTCCCTTCTCTTATAACTTTGTCACAGATGGTGAGAAAGAAAAGTAGAAACTTGTTAGGCCTTTCCAGTTTGGGCATAATGTTTTCCCATTTGAGCTAGATGTGTCATTCCCTAGAGTATCCTTTCTACTTTTAATGTTTGTGCATAAAAAAAGCACATATGGATATGGATACGACTTAAGAAAAGAATCTTATTCTCAAGAATATTACACTCATGGTAAAAATGATCTATTCAAGGGAGACAAAAATTCACTACTGTAAATTTAAAGTAGAAATGTTGTACCTTCACTTGGAAGACCTACACTCTTGACCAAATCACAAAAAATCTTCTTCACAAATGGTCTACAAAAAACATATAATAAAAATTGAAAAATAAGAAATAAATGAAATAAATGAAATAGAACAATAATTAAAAATAAAATAAAATAAATAATATAGAAAGGAAAGGAAAGGAAAGGAAAGGAATATTAAAGGAAAGGAAAGGAAAGGAAAGGAAAGGAATATTAAAGGAAGATAAAATGAACAAAACGAAATGAAATGAAAAAATAAGGGTTTTTTTGATGTTTCTCCCTCGCCTGCAAAAATCAAATGCTAATGATCGTGAAATGAGGGCCACAGATTTGTTAGCCACTGGCTATTAAGTGCTACTCTCATAAGACTAAAACAATTTATTTTTAATCTCAAGGGGAGTTAGAGTCATGTGACCGAGCTTAGTGTAGATGGTCTACAGGGATAAAAGCAATTTGGCCTATATCAGATCAAGATTCATTTTTTCCAGAAGACTGAAAAAAAAAATTGGTTGACAGCCTCTCAACAAAGAAGATTGATATTAGACACCTAAGTATATAACGTGCTATAAATATCACTAAACGTAATTTGATATCATAATAAGCTCAAGTGTTTTGACTGAAGTTGGATCGTCAATCACGCAAAACCTGAAAGGATTACCTTAGATTATGCTAATTTACCCCCCTCTTTCGTTCAATAGTCATTCATTTATAAAATAAATATTCAAAATTTTTGTTATTTTGACTTGGTTTAGAATGCTGTTGTACATTAGTCTTTGACCTTTCTGCCTCATATTATGCTTTGAACATGACACACAAACGTTTAGAGTAAAGAGCAAGCGTTCATGCTTAATATAATTTTAAATCCAAAATATAAACCTTATTTTCGACTAAGCCTTATTCTTCATTTAGTATTAAAAGTGGACAAAACTGCATTTAACTTACAATAGTAAGTTTATCAACACAAAACGCTTTTAATAAATTTATTATTTTAGCCATTGGTTATAAAATACATCTATTTTCAAAATATTTTGAGGTTCATGGAGTCGTCCGCTTGAGCGTGAAAATTGTTCTTCTTTGATCAAGGAAAAAACCTACCTTTCGTGTTTAGCAGGAAAAAGCAAGCACAACTCAATGGAACATAGTCTCATGTAGGCAAATTTTCCATCGGCAGATAAGAAATCGTTGATGGTTTTCTGGCTTGTTTTTGTTTTGCTGGTGCACGAAACTAGCTGTTCAGATCCTTCCGCCATGTTTAGTTATCATGTCAATAAAAACAGTCCCGTTGGTTCCCGCGAGGATCCCGCGACACACGAGACACAGGTAGCCCAACAAGAAAGCTTAATGAAGGAAACTTCCTACTTCGTAACTTCTGAATCAAGAAAGGAAGTTAAACACGGRGGATGGGTTCCAGAAATACTATTTCCTACATGTAAGGACAAGCCGTAATTTTAATCTATGTCATTCTACTGAACTTAAAGAACATGGTCGTCTTGACCACTGAGGGGTTTAGCCATGGAAACCATGCATGGAATAAACTGACTTCGACCATACGGCGGCCATCTTGGATCGCAAGCCAAATACTGAACTTTGTTACATGAATGACGTCGATTGATATTAACTGCTCACTTCAAGAGAATACAACAACAAAAAATGAATTAAGATCGTACATCGATCACCTTTACCTATAAAAGAGAAATAAAGAAAAGACAAAGCTCTATATATATTTTTTCGAAATCCTTGGTTTTGTGTTTTGCCCCCTGGCAAGATGTTCGTATTGATTCAACAACTCCCTGGCTACTGAGATGCATTTTCAGGTCATCAAAGTCTACCGGAAGCCGGCGTACATAGAATTACCCTATAAGTCGTCGCGTGAAGTAAATCACATGACGTAATTGATACTAAAAGGTAGTACTATAAAAAAGACTTGAAATTTTAAAGCACTTAGCAATAGGCTTTCATGCAAAGGGATCATTACGTACACTAAATCTCTTAAAGCAATATAACATGTGCTTTGTCAGTCAACACTGAAGAGTTAAACTCCACTCTTGTACTTTATAGTGAAGTACTAAAGCAAACCATCCAACTGAAGCGGACTTCCGATTAGAGAAGGTAATTGACATGAATCTGGCTTATTTATATTGAAATCTAAGGATTTTCCCCCTAAAATCGTAAGTCATGGTTTCTTTCTAATTATATGTTGGAGAGTGGGGAAATCTCAGTGTCACATAACACGATAAAGTGAGTTGACAGGATAAAAAGACAGTTACTTACCGGAAGGCGTATGGCCATATCAATYGCGAAATGCAATGTTTCCACGTTCTTCTTCATCATCTTCGCAGTTCTCCTCCTTCTCCTCCTCCTCATGTACTTTTTCTTCTTTACCTATCTCTTCCTGGACACTTTGTCACTTCCATTAGTTCATCTTCAGTCGTTTTTTTCCTTCGAATTAAATTCTAATTACTCTTTCTAAGTCTTGCTCTTCTTCTTCAACTTATCCTTTGTCTTCCTCTTAGCTTTTGAGCTAATATTAGCCCTCTCATAGATAAGCTAGTGGTGCAAACTTACTTCCATCTATAGGTTCTATTGCGCTTCTATCAACTACCAGCTCCACATAACATCCCGTCCGTGATGAAATGTTTACTTTTAGATAGTTACATGGCTTATTCGATCTCGAGCCTGTGAAATGTTATCACATTTATTTTTTTTATTTTTTATAATTTTCAGTACAAATAGCTGATAAACTATAGCGATACATAACGACAAACAAACAGTTGATTTGACTTCTGATTATGAATAAATTAGGTCCTGGGGAGGGGATTAGGTCGAAGGTAGTTATAAATATAAAATTTCTCACTGCCCGGATATTCCTGTTCCGGCTATTTCCTTGTTCTTATGTACTACTGCGTCTTTTCATTACCGATCGATCTCAAGCAGGGAGATGGAAGCATAAGCTAAATTACCTCTAAATATTTCAGATCCTTTTGGTTAGCGTGGGCATACACCATTTTCAAAAAACAGTTGTCATCGCCAAAGGCCAAAGGCAATAGGCGATATGCGAAAAGCAATAAGAGAAAAGGTATTTCCAAGATAAGAATAACTGGAATGACTTGTGTTTCTGCTTCTTATTCTCGTCAAGGACATGGACCTTAGTGTTGAGACGGATTCAATGTTGTTTGTAGTCGACGTAACCATTTCCGTCTATGAATGACTTTTCGCCTTTCGCTTTAAGATTAAAACGAAAGGATAAAAAACTTTAATTGTGGTGTTAATTTTCAAATTTCTTTCGTCCACTTGATCATAGTGTCAACTGAGTGACGAAGCGCCCCTCAAACCAGCCCCATAATGCACCGTATTTCTACAACTCCGGAACGGCAGTAAACTGTGTTTTCCGGATTAAAATCCCCCTTTAATGGAAAGACATATTAAATTGTTCTTCCACATGTGATATCTAATCCAGGGATCAAACCCCAAAAATAATAATATATAGCAGCAACTGTTACGATCGGTTATAATTTGATTTTCCACTTTAAAAAAAAATCGTCCTTTTCTCACGAGGGTAGCACTTAATAGCCAGTGGCTAACAAACCTGTGGCCCTCATTCCATGATCGAATTGGAATTTAGGAGTTGATTTTTGCGGAGGGAGGAAAACCGGAGAACCCGGAAAACCCTCGAAGCACAGGAGAGAACCAACAAACAACTCTACTCATATACAACACCGAACCCGGCGGGACTCGAACTCGGGTCGCATTGATGAGAGGCGAGCGCTCACACCGCTACGCCACCCGTGCTTCCCAACAACAACTTGAAACACTGACTTGAAGTCGTTTCTTCACGGTTACACGTCATACTATTTATGCACTGGCAACGCAGCCCATATCATCACTGTTTTTAAAAAATCAGCTTTTTAGCTCTATTCTTGGAGCAATCTTTTGCAGTATATATCACCACTTACAAGCAAGTCTGACACAGACGAGAAACCTTTTAGTGCTAAATATCGTTAAAAAGTAATCCAGTTCAGTTTGGGATTTTAAAATGATAAATGGTTCAAAAAAGGCTCCTAAAATGTCCAAAACGTCAGTTAATTTTTACTATAAGAATCATTTATCATTTTAAGCGTTGCCCATGTATCGAGGCAGTCCATAAATCTGAACTTGCTTACAAGACGGACTCATTTCGGACAATCTTCTTTGACTCCGACCGAAGGACTAACGTCCGAAACGTCCCCTTTTCACCCTAGTATTTTATTCATTTATTTTGGATAAAACTTCAAAAAATCAGAAAGGTTTGCATTCAATTCTTGCGTATTACTTATAACCGGTTACAGTACTTTAGCTTAGCAAGAGGTCCACTCATTACGACCACATCGATCGGCAGGACTTGCTACCAAAACACAAACTGAGCGAGGTTGCGTATCTAAACTCAAGGGGCGCTAGCCGGAAAGCCGTAGAGCTGGGCAAATTGAATGGGCCTCTAAAATTATTACTTGAAATTTTCAGAGGCAAAACATTGACCTGACTGTCAAACTCCTTACTTTTTAAGAACGCTGGAATAAAGTCAATTTTCATCGAATATTTGAAATTGGTATTTTGAACTTACCCATCCTAAGGTGGGCATCGCTTAGACCCTGAAGGCCTGAATTACGACAGCTGCGTTATTCCCTTACATGGAAAAAACAACAGAATGAATAGAACAAAAGCCCTTAGCGCCTCACTGACAATATTAATTAACATGCTAATAAATAACATAACTTAATTTGCTTTTTTCGGAAGGTGCTTCCTAGGTCATTGAGTCGTGAAAGAGCCCGACAACCGACGCGCTCATGAGGTGTAGGATTGTTTTCATAAAATTTTACAACATTTTGGGTTATATTTTGAGTGTTAAGCTTCCCTGGATGTAGTTGAGACGACAAAGAAAGATCAACGCAGGTATTTCCATGACAAATGCACTTTTTTGTTCGTTAATCTTAAAAGAGAGAAAGAGAGTTGTCTCAACTTCAGTTATTATGCAAGATAACAGGTTCTGTCGAAATAACCTTTTATCAAATACTTTAAAACTTAAACTGTACACATAAGTTTCCCAAATAGTAGCTTTTAAGTGGTAAAAAAATCTTATTTCTTATATCATTTAACAAGAATCGCTAATAAGGGAGTGTCTGACCGTCTGTCAGCAGGAAAACTTAAATTTTGAACTACACTGTTTTGAACTACATTTTCAGTAACAGCGAAGCGATTGTAGTCTATAGCTAAACGAAGGTGTTCTTAAGAGGCTTTAGATTAAAGCGACTTTCAATTAAGACTATTCAAAATCACGTAAATGAAATGCATTTCAATGAGAGTGCGTGTTTTCGGGTCTTTGTTTTGGAAACGTTGAGTAGAGTAAGCAATTACGAATTATCCCCTCGTCATAAATAGTGCCCCCGTAGAAAGAGTACTCTGATCTCCCACGTATAAAACATATATTACATTTTAGTCTTATTATCTGTAGCAGGAATACATCGGAAGCATTTACGTAACTACGTAGGCTTTTCTTTATTTTTCCTTTTTTTTGCGTGTCTTTCTCGGTCGGAACTCTTATAATCAACACAAAACAAATTGAAACTCACGTAAAAGATTATAACTATAAAAGCTGTCATCATAATTTCTGACTCATATTAATTTTATTCTTGACGTCTTATAATTGTAGGATAAATAGAATTTAAAAAAATGATTTGTCAAATGATTAATTCGGCTTTGAAAATACATCAAATATTTTTAAAAAGTATACGTCTCTACAGGTTCCTTAGTTCAGGAGTTCGTCCCCTGATTCCAAAAAAAAAAAAAAAAACTTTCTCGCTCATATAGATTTTCTCTCTTTATTTTGCTATTCCTCCTCATTTTTGTAAAATACAGAAACATTTTAAGTTATTAATCTGGGCAAATCGAATAAAACACATTCAATTAAGGTAGATTTTTTCTTAAATAAACTCTTGATTTTCACTGAAGTGCTAATAACTGAAAACAATGAAGTACTCTAATGACTGAATTCGTATGAAGTAACTTTAAAGTCAACATTTTTCTTGAAAAAATAGCTATATCTGATTTATGTATCTCGAGAAGCATAAACCTAGCTACATTTAATTGCAAAGTTTTCAAAAAATTACAGCGGCATACGGAAGTAAACGCTCTGTTTAATCGTGTGAATCACGCTGAAGAATAAAACCTATTTTTTTAGTTACAAACTTTTCAAAAAGTTACAGCGATGCAATTAGTAACAAGTTTGTTTGTTGTTTGCAAAACGTGTTTGTTTGCCTGYTTGCCTGCTTGCCTGCTTGCCTGCTTGCCTGCTTGCCTGCTTGCCTGCTTGCCTGCTTGCCTGCTTGCCTGCTTGCCTGCTTGCCTGCTTGCCTGCTTGCCTGCTTGCCTGCTTGCCTGTTTGCCTGTTTGCTTCAGCGTTTGCTTTCATGTACAGAACCTGCCCTTAACTGAGCTAAACTCGTTCTTGCCAAAATAATTAACGGACCGCTGACGAAATATATTATTGTAATCACGAAAATCCGGCTCATGATAATTATAATAATTTTTACTGAAGAGAGTAATCACCTTTATCTCACAGCTTTATTGCCAAGCCTTTTAATCCCTCCAGATGTCAGAAACTTGAAAAATTAATCAAAACTTTATGATACACAAATCGATTTACAAACTCAACCCGACAAACAAATTACAAAACCAGGTCATTCAAGAAAAATCTTTTATTAAAACAACTTTTTTTTTATTATAAATGTTTTTGTTCTTTCTGTAAACATCTACAGGACCTACAGATTCAAGATAACCGCACTAAGCTCACCGCATACCACAAAGAGAGGCTCAGCATCATATATAAAGCCTTTCTCTATTAACAAGCTACGTTCTTTCGCCGACAATAGACCTGAAATTTTGGAAGTTTAAAAACCGTTAAACAAAGTTACGATTCGTACCTGGCCTTAGGATAAAAAGGATTACAAAGAGATGACCAATATATCAAACGCTACGGTTACTGTGTGGTCAACGGATGGTCCTGAGTTCGTGGCAGCTTTGGTGTCGCTAGGTAAGTTCGTTTTTAATTATTCTCTTATAAAAAAAAATAATTTAGAAAACCAAGAAATGGTTCAATGTGCAATTAGCYTCGCTTTCCTGAATTTTACAGTTTTTCTTATTAGTATCGTAGCTTATCGTTTCTATTTTTTAAAGTAGTAACAGTTCAGAACATGAATCGAAGTATAGATTTTGCTTCCCATTTTTATAATCAATTCACTTTCATAAACACAAAATGGCGTTATAGCAACGAAGTCATAACTTTTCCCCCTTTTATTAAAAAATATATATATTTATCTTCATTACGAAGCATTTTGTCTGTCAAAACTACATTCTGTTAACTTCACACTGAAATATTTTATTTGGTGCGAAAATTTTATCATTACTGTGGTGGTATAATTTTCCAGGATTTCGAACATCTAATTGCATCTAAATCTTAACTGAATATTGCTTAAATCACCCAACATATTTAGGAGAACACTTGGTATTGAGTTTACTTGGAACTCCTAACCGCCATGCAGGTGTACCATAGATCTAGAGTGCTTCATTATAACTATTGCTTACAAAGAAAACCTCTATACAAAAGGAAGTTCTGAACATATATATATGATTAATATGAATAAATATCTTAGAAGGAAAATAACCCGTTATTTTCAGTAAGAATGTTCTAGGAAATTAAGTTATTAGACTAAAAGGGTCACTCAGGAACCAGCTGTTTATTTTTTATTTCGTCAACGTTTAACATTGAAATTCAATTCTTTTTTTTTWAAAAAAAAAAACATTGGTAAATTCAGTTGTTGTTGATATGTTTTACGATTTTTTCCGTTTTTCTTTGCTAGAGCTAAATTATGTATAGCAGCACATTTGCATTCGCATTTTCGGTGAAATAACTGATACTTGAATTGCGATATAAAGAAGAGATAACTCAGTGCAAATATATTTTGAAAACGAGAAAGCAGTTGTTTTCACATTTCCTGTGAGTAAAGCTGTTGATCTTATTCATCATGCAGTTTACCCTGCGAGAAAAGTCTCCTTTTGAAAGAAAAATAATAGACAAAAKATACCAGAGACTTATCGAAATGATTTGATTCCATTAGCAATCTATTTATTTTATTTTATAACTAAAAAAAGTATTGAAAATTTTCTTGTTTTTTTAAAACGACTCTTTATATAATACAGGCAATTCAGATCATAAATAGACAAAATATTACGAGAAAAGTAAGCTTTGGTACTTAAATTTTTTTTTTTTTTTTTAATATTCTGCCTTGCTGAACCTATCAGTTGGGTTAATTATTGGTATCGCCTTAGGTTTAATTGAATTGTAGCTGGGATTACTGAGTCTTTTAAAAAAATTTACAACTTTTCAATTTGTAATTCGGTTAACTTCCAGCGCAACTGCGGAATAACAACAATATCAGTCCTAATTGTAAGTACAGAGACTTCGCTGTTTTTGTAATAATATCAAAATAAGGATAAATGTTTAAATGGATAATAATATATTTTTCAAATCAATAATATTCTTTTAAATTCAAGAGACAGAGAGCCTCTCGAAGAGCTGAGATAGAGAGGAAAATTTTTTGCTGTAGTACGTACACAAGACGAATTTCTTTAGCCCTTCTTAACAAACAAGAAAAGCCATCTAAAACTCATTTAGAGAATTTAATGATTTTAGTCGCGCTGTGTAAATTAGTAAAAAACACCTGTTAAATCTTTGAGTGACATTAACCCAGTTTTGATTCAATATTTGCTTTCAAAGTGCTTTAATAAGACAAATTCATGTTAGACCACAAAGAATACTTTAAAAAACTCAGGATGTTATTTGATTGAATTAAAGACGTGCCTTATAATTCAAAAAGAAAGAAAGAAAAGAAAGAAAAGGAAGGAATAAAGAAAGAACGAATAAACGAATGAAAGAACGAAAGAAAGAAAGAAAGAAAAAGCT